CACCTCTCTCCTAGGTGGTCTCAACCTGCCCTGTCGCTCCGCCACAAAGTAACCGTCGGGGGCCTTCGGGAACTCAGGCCCACCTCTACCGGGATGGAGCCACCTGCCCCCTCAGCCCCCAACATCGAAATCACTCGCGGGTACTCCTACGAGCCGACCCGACTTTAATCACCACAAGTATCATATATTATGTATAAGTATATACCCGTGACCACCTCCCAAGTGATCACGGCCCGATAGTATAGCATGACAGACAGACAAAAATGTAGGGCCACTGATGGTAAACTAGTATTCTATTCTAAGCATTTAGGATTGCAGGTAAGGTATCAACAGCTGGAGCATCAATGACAGGCTATGCATCAGGATAGGATTAATGGAAAGCAGTAACATGCTACACTATTCTAAGGTAAGCAGTATAGAGGAGAGTAGGCGATATCTGGTGATCAAGGGGGGGGGGGAGCTTGCCTGGTTTCTCTGGCAAGAGAGAGTGGTCGTCAACACCGTAGTCGTACAGGGTAGCAGCGGCGTCGGTCTCAGTGTCTAGCGAGAGAAGAGGGGGAAGAAACAATAAATATAATGCAAACAAATGCATGACGATGCATGACATGACAAAGCGTGATGCTAGGTGTGCCCTAACGCGGTACGAGGTGGTACCGGTGAAGGGGGGAACATCAAGGAAATTATCCCCGGTGTTTCGCGTTTTCGAGCAGAGGAGCCGGAGGGGGAAAGTTGCGTGTTTGCTATGTTAGGGATGCGTGGCGGACGAACGGACTGCGTATCCGGATTCGTCTCGTCATTCTGATCAACTTTCATGTACAAAGTATTTTCATCCGAGCTACGGATTATTTTATAGGATTTTCCAAAGTTTTATTAATTCCTGGAATTTAATTAATTATTTAATTTAATTCAAAAATGGATTTATGACATCAGCATGATGTCATGCTGACGCCAGCAGTCAACGGGGGTTAACTGGTCAACCTGACCAGTGGATCCCACTGGTCAGTGACACATTTTAATTAAACAATTTAATTGACCTAATTCGTATTAATTAGGGGGTGGGCCTCACTGTCATACACTATTAGTTAATTAACAGTTGTTAATTAGGCATTAGATTAATTAATCCTAATTAGTTAATTTTAATCAGAATTAATTAAGTTAATTAATTAATTATATTATTAATTAATTATTTATTATATATATTATTTTTAATACCTTTTTTTATAAAACGTTCTCAGGGGCTGGGCCCCGGCTGTCATTGGGCCAGGGCCTTAGCGGGTGTGGGGTTTACGGGTGTCGGGCATGGCAGCAGCCCGTTTGGGCGCACGCCCCGGCCAACGGTGGGGGAACGAGGCGCCAGCGCTGTGCTACGACTGGGAACGGCACCGGCGAGGCCATGCGAGGGGGGTTCGGGCTGCGCGCAACGCAGGGGTAGCGGCAGCAGCAGGGGAGGCAGTGCAGCGGCGAGAGCCGCGGTGGAAGGACGGGGCGCGACGGGCGCGGTGTGCGCGAGGGGACCATGGGCGCGGCGACTGTAGGCGAATGAGGCCGCGGTAGCAGGTTCGGTGGCCGGTGCAGCGCCGTGCGGAGGGCGCGGCCGACAAGTGCGGCGCGACGGCGTCCACAGGATGCAGCGGGCGTGAGCGAGGACGACGGTGAGCGGCCCGACAACGACGAGGCGGGGCGCACGCGCGGAGGGATGGGAACGTGGCCGGGCGCGTGCGGCACGGCCGAAGCGTGAGCAGCACGCGGCTGCGGGCGCTGGCGGGGAAGGGGACGCGGTGCGCGGGGGAGGGAGTGAGCTGCGTGCGAGCGGAGGCATGACCGGGCACATCCGTGCAGGGTCAGAGCAAGGGAAGGACGGACGGGGTTCCTCACCGCGGGGCCGTAGGGACTAGGCAGCGGGCGTGGGGAGGGCGATGGGAACGAGGCGACGACGGAGAGGACGATGGGGTCAACGCGGAAACAGGCCGGCGGGGAGGCGGTCCTGCGAGGCGGCGGCGTCCTGGCGTGGGGGCGGCGAGCTCCTGGCGCCGGCGTCGGGGACGGGATTGGGCCCTTCCGATCCAGATCCAACGAGAGAGGGGGAGTGGGCGACGTGGGGGGTGTGGGGTGTGGCCGGTTAGGGTTATTGGGGGAGTGGGGATAAGGGAGTGTGGGGGGGCCGGCCGGCTGGGCCTGGTGGGTTGGCCCAGTTGGGCCACGGCCCAGGGGGTCTTCTCTTTTTTTGTTTTATGTTTGTTTTTTTCCTTTTTTATTTTCCTTTTTCATTTTTCTTTTAGTCTCTAATTTATTTTCTATTTTAAAAATATAAAAGTAGTTCCTATTTTAGTATAACTATATCTACTACTGCTATATTAACCATGGCACCCAAATAAAATAGATTAGTATTTTACAAAATATAAAAGGCATTTATTTAATTGTTTTTGCTACTGTTTAAATCCTTATAGTTCATTTAAGCATTTTATAAAAGCTTGGTTTCTCCACCATAATTGCTTACGATTTATTTGAAACAATCCAAACATTTTGGTGTTAATTTTTTGAACTTTTGTTGTTTGCTTTTCTTTTGAATTTGAATGTGAATCTGTTTCGAACTAACGTGAGATTAGCAACAGTAACCGTGGTGACGCGGCATCATCAACGGAGGTTTGTTGTAGCTTAATTATCTGGGCGTCACAACCTCGAACTCATGGTCATGGAAATGCATGTCATTGGTTTGAGATCAATGCGAATTGTTGAAGCCAACACCCATAGTTGACATGTATGCATCATCATTGAGACTACAAAGTTTTTTGAACAATGCAAATAAGCTATCTATATGAATGCATTGAAAAAAATAACAAGAAGAGAAAAGTTGGATTTTTTTTTACCTTGGGGACATTTCGTCGAACATGTTGTGCGCGTCGGCCGCCGGCTCAACGAGTGAGCTCGCCGGCGCTTAGGTAGCTGCCGCGCCCGTCGCACGCCCTGCAAGCTTCTTCCTCCTCGCCTTCGAGGTGCCGGAGCCGTCCACCGTCTTGTTCTTCTTCGCCGATGTCTTGCCCTTCTTTGGTCGTGCCGCATTGGGGAGTTTCGAGGAGGGGGCGTCGGCTCGGGCCGGCGCTGGCGCGACGCCACCCGCCGCCGAGGTCATCCACGGCGGCATGAAGAGGCCGCGCGCGAGGCCGATGGTCCGAGGAGCTCCGGCGGAGGCGAGGCCAACGCCACCCGGGCTAGGGTTTGCGGCGGCGGCGGCAGCAGCGGTGGAGGGGTTGCGGTTATAGGATGGGGGAGCGGGGTGCCGGCGCGTGCGTCCATGGGTGCAGTTCGCCAGCGCCGGTGTGCGTGGGCCGTAGAAGGCGGAGAGGAGAGAGTGCGGCACGAGCGCTCGAGTGTGCCGCGCGCGGAAGCGGGCGCCCCAAATACACCGCGCGAGATAGCGAATCCGACTGCGCGCCCAACTCCTTATACCACGCGCGCGGTTATTGCGAGCCCGCTGAAGCCACCAGCCGGGTTGCGCGCGCGTTAAAATGGCCAAATTTATGACGCGACGCTTGTTTAGCGCGGCTGTTGGAGATGCTCTTAGATCGCACTGATTATAAGCACACTTTGACCATTGACTCTGACCTAGGACCATGACCGGTGACCTTTGACCGTTGAGTGGTGACATGGAGCATTGACCACTGACATTCTAAAAAAGGATTTACTATTTTCTAAATAAGTTCATAAATTTAGGGGAAAATCATGAATCTAAATAAAGTTCATGAGTTTGATTTTTTTATCAATTTAGAAAATTTCACGATTTTAAGAAAAGTTAATGCATTTCAACAAAGGTTCACAAATTGAAAAAAAATATTATAAAATTGGAAAAATGTTCACGAATTTAAGAACAAAAATTCACTAATTTGAAAAAGGAAAAAGTCACGAAAAATAAAATATTAAAAAATCATGAATTTTTAAAAGGTGAAGAATTTGGGAAAAAATATCACGAGTCTGAAAAAAGTTAATGAATTTGAGATAAGTTCATGATTTTAAGAAAAAGTTCACAAATATGAAAAAAATTCATCAATTTAAGAAAGAAAGTTCAAAATTAGAAAAAGAAAAACAGACTTGAAAAATAAAATGATAAAAGAAAAAATGAATGGAAAATTTCATGGATTAGAAAAATGTTCATGGGAAAGAAAATTCATGGATTTGCAAAAAAGTTCAAGAATACAAAAGAAGTCCACGGATTTAAAAAAATCAAAATACATAAAAGTTCGTGAATTTGAAAAGAATGGAAAAACAAAAATGTTAAGGGAGTTGAAAAAAAAGTTCACAAATTTGAAAGAAAAATGATCATGAACTAAAAAAGGTCATAGATTTGGAAAAGTTCATGAATTTGAAACAAATTTGAAAAAAGTTCAAAATCTGTAAAAAGAAGTTCAGGAAAAATAGAAAAAAGTGAAAACTAAAAGGATAATTGAAAAAGGAAAGAAATAGATCAGCAACCCAGATAGTCTAGCAAGCAGGGTGCACGCAAAATCACTAATTGAGGAATACTCCTTCCAAAGATCACTTTCACCTTTCTAGATTGTGACAAGTGGCGCATAACATGTGCGTCACTTGTCGCAACCTGGGAGTTTTTTTTCATAGATCCGTTTATTCAAAATGTTTTATCTCCTAGATCGTGTGTCCAAATCTCAAACCGTTTTCACCGTTGGATCCTTTGCGTCGAGATCTTCAAAACAAGATCCTGTATTGATAGGTTTTGACGAACTTTTAAAAAAAACGGATGAAAAAACTGTGTCTCTCGTGAAAGAGGAGTTCTGATATGGGCTTTGACTCCGTTTGGGCACACCTGAACATTTTAATTTGATAACGGGTTTAACCTACACAGAAAGTTGGCCCAGATCCTTTCGGGCTAAAGTTTGGGTAGGCCACGGGCTTGTCCACTAGCCCGTGCGTGCCTACGCCGGCCGCTGACTCCCTCTCACCTAGCTATCCGTCCCCGCCGCCGATCTTCGCTCGTCCTCCGGCGACCTATGTCTGCGGCTGTGATGCAGGGCACAGCGCCCGTAGAGCGCCGCGACTCCTCCAGCGGCGGAGCGGAGATTGCGTACGTTAGCTACGGCGGTGAGCAGCACCTCCCACTGGTGATGTCGCTGGTGGACGCGGAGCTCAGCGAACCCTACTCCATCTTCACCTACCGCTACTTCGTCTACCTCTGGCCACAGCTCACCTTGCTCGTACGCCTTTACTTTCTCTTTGCACTCTACCTCTCACGCTGCTGAAAGTATGTGGGTTTGGTATATTCTTGATGGTTTCTTGGTTTGTCCGGGGGATTCGTCCGAAGGCGTTTGATGCAAAGGATGGTAAGTGCGTGGGGACAGTGGTTTGCAAAATGGGGGAGCACAGAGGCGCCTTCAGGGGGTACATCGCCATGCTCGTCGTCCTCAAGCCCTACCGAGGACGAGGAATCGGTGAGTTTATTAGATTTATATTTATAAAAAATCCTTTAATTTTCTGCTATAGTTCATCAATTGTTGCTAGGCGATGTGTGATCTTAGAATCTTGCTATGTATGTCTAAGGGTGGCAGTATCGACTTAGTAAGGTTTATGGAAACACAATCTTTCTTACTGAGTTTGCTAGTCGTAGAGATCTTACTTGTGTATAGTTTTACTTCAAGGGTTTCATCTTGTCCAGTGTATGTAACTGCTAAGACTCTGTTCACTCTCGTATAAGGGTGTGGTTTTCGTTTTTTATGTTTTTGCAAGGTTGCAATATTGAATCCTATAGTAGGAACACACAATTAATGGTTATTGCTTCCCAAAAGAAACGTCAGGTTTAGTGTTGTTACATAAGCATTTGATTCATTGCAAGGCGCTCTTTGCCTTGTTTCATTTAGTATTTTATTAGGGATAGGCATTGTGCTTACTGTGAAAAATGTCCAAAGTTCTCTGGTTGTTTCATTTATTTTGTTTGAATTGGAGCAATTTTTATGCTTGCAGTTAGATTTTATCTCATTCGTCCATCTGAAAAGGAAACATTTTCTCTTTGCTTCCGATTATGTTCAAAAGAAGCACTGTAATTTCTGAATGTGATGTGCTCTGCAACCGAACCGATTTATGACTGACATGCTGCATGTTCCCAGCATGCATCTGCAATCCTTGTCCCTCTTTATTCTAAAAGTGACTCCTAATGCAGTATCCATTATTAGACACATGACCCTAAAAGGACCAGTCTTTAGATTATATAGAGGATCAATCAAGTCTGTTATATCTTGACAGTTAGGGCCTACGAACAGTCATGTCCTTCGGTTAAATGACACACCCCCTGGTGAAAGGATTTCTCTTTGTGGAAAGACACATCCCTTGGTGAAAAGGTGTGCTGGCGAAATGATGTCTCTTAGCAGAAAGACATTACAAAAGAATAAAAAGAAGCATAATAATTGTTAGATTAACACATTAAAAAAACAGTTTTTAACTTCCCAGAAGATGTGACCATTGAAACTGCGCCAGAAAACTAATGTACTTAAATTTAAAATTCTAATTTATTTACGCACTTGGACAAAATTTGAACTTTGCAACTCTATGCTTAAAAAACATGCAATTTCTTATATAAACATTTCAACATAATAAAGTCACTAAACAATCTAATAATACCCGTAGCAATGTGCGGGCATTACGCTAGTTAAATAAATAACTTAACTAACTTACAGACTCAGGATAAGGTGCCTTTTTTGGTCCCATTTTGGCCAACAAGTATGGAGTGGCGGAGTTATTTTTTCTATGTAACAACCAACCATCTTTCTTGGAGTACCATATGCTTTATTTCGCACAACCAATAGGAGCTCTACCTATTGGTTACGTAGAAACTAGATTTGGTCGGTTATTAAGGGTTACCGGCAGAAAACAGAGGGAATCCGTATGTTGTCCTTGATATTCTTATGTTTTTGTGAGATCATGTTCCTTTTCTTTGTTGTGTTTGCGTAAGTTCGCTTCATTAGTTATTATGACTAACATGAGTTATCTTTCTCCAAATTCACCTTTTTTTTTCTTGATCACTTTACATGTTTACCTTGCATTATAGAACTACATTTGGCTTAGTATTGTAATACAAACATGTTGGGTTAGCACAGTTTTCCTGCTCTTGTCCAAAGAATCCTTTTATCTGCTGTTAGTTTCAATATGAGAAAAACATACAACCAACCAGTCACTAGCACCTGGTGGCATTGTCTAAAGAAGAACTACTGAGACACCAGTCACTACTAGTAATCGTGTATGTGCAATGCACGTTAATATAATATTAACGTGCATTGCACATTAATCGTGCATGTGCATATTAGGCAATATATTAATTGCATCACACACTAATATTTGACAAGATCTTAATTACACATTGATATTTTTGTAGGATATAATTAATTGGTTAGTGCTAGCATGGATATTGGATATATGCTATTAATTAAGGGAGGATTGTGTGAGGGAGGTGGTGGCTACGTGACTGGGGCTGGACGCGCGTGGGGCTGTGGGAGAACATTGAATATGAGCCCTTGGATTGGATGGCAGACCACAGAAGCAATATCAACTCTTAGATTTAATTAGATAGATTAGATCAGGGTGTGGTTTGTTCTGGGTGCACTATTTTTGGTGGCTTTAGAAGAATTAGAACTCGCACTTTTAGTAGTAGAGATAGAGGTGGGGAATAAATTCTAGCCGATGGAAGTCGTCGAACTCTGGTGGTCTGACTGGTGCTGGGCACAGTTTTAATATGTTGCTTGTGTTGTAGAATTTATTAATGTTAGTCCATTATTTATGAGTAGGATCTTCTAATGCATTTGTTTATTTGCTTTTTTTTTATAGAAAGAAACAGCTAGCTACGTTCACCGGGCTGCCCTTTAATGAAACAGCTATGTTAAGTATTTTATTGTGCTTGTTTAACTTTGGGTCTGCTTCATTTGCAGAAAGAAAGGCGTATTTATTTGCTTAGTTCTTGGATACTATGTTTATTTCTTGATGATTGACATGTCTATGCTAGCCTTGCTAGGTTTCTTTCTTGACAATTGCTTTTTGTGCTGCCTTCTTTTGATCTATATAATGTTTGTTCGTTAAGTGCTATTGTGATGTCATTAGTTGCAACCGCTATGTGCATTATTATTTATGCAAGAACTTAGCAAACGTTGTTGGTTATCTGGTGTTACATACTGAAGTTATATTCTGCACCATTCTTCATACGTTGAGTTTGTTTTGGACTAAATGGATTTCATATGGTAGCTCAATCTCTGACAAATCAGATATCAGTGCATTGTTGCTAAATATAACGAAGATGCTCAGTTGTCTAGTACTTCAAATATTGTAATGTAGTAATGCGGCGTCCCATAATCTTTGTCAACTCCTTGCAATTTCAGCCTTCCAGTTTATCTCCTTCCATAGGAATCGTCATACTTTTTACCTTACAGTTTAATGTGTTATGTTGTATATTAGGCTGATCTAACCTGTATTTCCTCATGCTACAGCAACTGAGCTGGTTACTAGAGCCATTCGGGTAATGATGGAATCTGGTTGTGAGGAGGTAATTATACTACAGTTCTGTTGGTCCGTCTTCTCTAACATTTCATTCGTTTTTGATATTTTGTCATCTGAGAAACATATCAGCTATTATATATATCCTACTTTTGTGTTCGTTGTCTATTTGTTTTGGCTATGGATGTGGTTCATATCCTCTTTGTAAAGAAAAAAGGGAAAGAGGATTGATATCTGACTCATGCAGTCCCTTGATTGTCCTGCAGTTACCAGAATAAGCTATTTGCCTTAACAGTGTGAACGATTAGAGTATTTGACATCTGACTCGTGTGCAATCCAGGTGACGCTTGAAGCAGAGGTTACAAACAAGGGTGCCCTCGCTCTGTATGGCCGCCTAGGTTTTATCCGAGCAAAGAGGCTGTATAGATACTATCTAAATGGCGTGGATGCTTTTCGTCTCAAATTACTGTTTCCACGCCCCGATCTTGGTCTAGATCCAATGATGATGCTTGGTGATGAGAGGGATGGTCAACACATGGATTCTCCGTACTTGTGATAATACCCTGATCAAAAGTGGAAGATGGAAATCAAGCTGTTATTTTTGTTGTGTTCTTTTTCCTGTTTGATACTTTCATGTCTTCATGACATGCAGTAGCTATTTTCCTTTTTGAGAAACAAGTGGTTTTCGGCACTGCTGCTCCTGGTAATTTTGAAACCCTGAGGAGGGCATTAGAAGTTCCAAAAATATCTGAATATCTTTTCACGTGTAACAATATTGTCATGGATATTTTTGTAACACAGTGCAAATGTAAATCGCCACCCAATCAGGGGGGCCCTCCGATAGCTTGATATCGATTATGACCTGCCTGAACTTGTTCATGGCACGCCTATTGATCCCTGCCGTTACTTTTTGTTGAAGTTGAATAGCCCACTGAAATCATATGTACATGTTTCAAACATATATTTTGATTTACCAGATTTTTCTTTTTCTTAAACCGTTCACTTGGGGTGGAATTCGAGTCGAGCCAGCATGACTCGACCCGTTAGAGCTCGGTAATATAATGAACTCATTAACATAATAAACTCAGCTCGACCAGTTAGAATTCGAGTTAGCTTTGGCTTGACTCGTTAACATAATAAATTCAGCTTGACTCATGTAACTCGCGAGCTAGCTCGATTAACTCGTTAAACTCACAATGGACGTGAATAAGAAAAGAGCTTTGCTACACGCATGGGCAAATAAGCATGGGCTTTTACGGGCTTAGCTGGGACCTTTTGATTGGAGAAAATCATGATGCGGGGCCCACATCCCTGAAAATCAGGGTTTTTTTGAGACAATCCGAAATTCAGGGGTGGGGGTGGAGATTAGTTAACGAAACAGACCACGTAATAGGCCCGTAAAAGTCCGTTGGTTTACAATTTTCGATAACAAAATAATCTTTGCTTTGGTACAATCCCCTAAATACATCAACGGACGAGATCTATCTTTACCCCTTCATAATAAAGGATAATCTTTCTAGAAAATACGTCACGGAGATCTGTTACGTTCTGTGTCCGCCTTGGGCCGGCCCATTAGTATTTACTGTAGCATGGATCGAAGATCAAAAAAAAAAATCAGGCTTCGAACCCAGGACCTTCTGCAGTTGTATACTCCCTCCATCCTTTAAAGAGTGTACTTCCAATTTTATTGGGCTCAAACTATCTCAAAGTTTGACCAAGTTTATGCAAAAATATGTCAATGCTTGTGAAACCAAATAGGCATATGACGAAAATATATTTTATCATGAATCTAATGCTACTAATTTGATGACATAAATGTTGGTCTATTATTGTATAAATATGATCAAACATAGAAAAGTTTGACTTTCCAACAAAGTTAAAAATACACTCTTTTAAGAATGGAGGGAATACTTTAATAGCCACCAGGACAAACACAACTTGGTTATACATAACTAGCGTGGTATATTATCACAGAGAATGGTCGTACCGTAGGAGTTTTTTTTATATAAATGCTGTAGCAGATCGAAATTAGTACTGTACAAAGGGGAAGACACTCTAGCACGAATAGAAACACTGTATTGTATCGAGATTATTTGACAGGGGGTATTGTAGCTAAAGTGTTTTTTTATAGCTAAAAAATACTAATGTGTTTTTTCATCATCAAAATATATTTTGAAAACATGAATATTTTCAAAAATACAAAATGTTTTTCAAAATTTGAACTTCTTTTGGAAACACGATCTTTTTTCCAAATTTGAGAACATTTTTTTCGGAAAAACATTTTGATTTTGTAAATATTTTTCAAACTTCAAGGATATTTTTCTGAAAGTGTAAGATTTTTTTCAAAAAGTCAAATAATTTATCAATTTTTAAAAAAAATTCTTGAAATTATGAAGAATTTTTAAAATTTCTGAATATATTTTTCAGCACACAAACCTAATTTTTGAGCATTATTCGAAAAACAGAAACATTTTTTCAAATTTACTAACATTTTCTGAAAACATTTCTTATTTTCTAGGGCCTGAGCATTTTTTGATTCTCATTTTTTTTCATTTTTCTTCTCCTTTTGTTTATTCATTTTTCTACTTTTTAAATTTATTATTCTTTGTGAAACTTTTTTCAAAAATAAAAAATTGTTTGGCATAACAAAAAATGTTCTTGTTTTCAAATATTCTTTGCAATTTTAAAAATTGTTCTAGAATTTTAGAAAACGTTCTTGTTGTCGATTGTTTTGTTCACAAATTTAAGAAATTTATGGTTTCAAAAAAGTTGATAATTTTTTTAAAGTACGTGGTTTGCAATTTTTGTTCAAAATTTTCATAATTTTTTGGAAATTTGTTTACAATTTTAGAAAAAAGTATTCTAGTTTGTAAAATTTTCATGCACATTTTGAAATTCCAAAATTGTTGGCAACTTTCATGAAATTTTCAGGACAAAAGAAAATGCTCATGCTGATTGATAATGATCGGAAATTATAAATACACTCATCTAAACTAGTGTTTTTAGGACTATGGATAATTGATCCAACTGTTGGAAATCTCAGGACAGACCCCAACTTTTGCAAGCAAGTGGGCATGCCCATTTTAGGCATCCATGCCTGGTTTGAATGACTTCCAACACCGTATGCACGTTGTGACACGTTCTGCCATTAATCGTCCTTTTTTCACCGAGAAAACTTTAGAAATGTGAAACTCGACAAAACCCAAATAATTTGGCATGATGCCTTGAATTGGTCATACAAGACCATAAAAAAGGGTCAATTAAGGGATGTCGAGAAATGAGGTGCTCCCAAACAGATCCTTCTGGCCTATCTGAATACCCTTCATTGAACATGGTATTTCTTTGAAAATATCAGGACTAACCTAATTTTTGCAAGCAAGTGGGAATACCCATGTTAGGCATCCCCACCAGGTCTAAATGACTTCTAACAACGTACGCATGTTGCGACATGTTCTGCCATTAATTATCCTCTTTTCGTCGAGAAAACTCCAGGAAATGTATAACTTGTCGAAACCAAAACAACTTGCCATGATGCTTTGAATTGGTCATATGAGGCCCTTGAAAATAATTGGGGTCATTTCAAGGATATCGAGAAACAACAAGCTCT